ATTCCCTGATTCGCCAACACATTAAGCCTAAATGGCCGACAATTTTGTGATTTTTTATTTAACTAGGAAATCTTAGTTTCAAATATAAATTATTTATTTGTTTAACTTCTGATTTGGTTAGTGAATTGGCTATTTTGAAGAATTTACAAGGAGATTTAAATCAGAAGATAGCAATACTACAGTTCACACTAAAAAGAGAGGTAGGGCCGCAGAGAGCGAGATAGATATAAGTAGGTATTTGACTCAAGTTTTTGTTCCAACTCTGCCCTCCATTTTTATCTTTAGCTTCATGGTTATCATCATCATGACGATATCTTCTTCTTCTTTTTTGATGTTTGCAATACCCGTTGAAGTGAACTTGATTGTGCCATTGCGTACTGAGCATGAAGCTTAAGATAAAATGGAGGCCACACTTGGAACAAAAACTTGAGTCAAATACCTACTTATCTCTATCTTGCTCTCCGCGGGCCGACCTCTCTTTTTAGTGTGGACTGTAGTATTGCTATCCCCTTAATTAAATCTCCTAGTAAATTCTTCGAAATAGCCAATTCACTAACCAAATCAGAAGTTAACCAAATAAATAATTAAATATTTGAACTATGATTACCTAGTTAAATTAAAAATCACAAAATTGTCGGCCGTTTAGGCTTAATGCGTTGGCGAATCAAGGAATTACAATCCCAATTCCTGAGGAATCGGTACCATGTGTGGCAACATGGGCCCAATCCGGCCCATCATGGGCGGTTGTTTACTATTTTGTTTACTATGCAGTTATTTTCGTTTAATTCGTTTATGATGTTTATCTCAAGAAATGGTGCAAAATTTTGTAGTGCGTGGTTGCGGTAGTACGTGGTGTCCCGGAAGTGACTTAAGATTCCTCGTGTAAGTGTTTATTTCGTGATTTCCAATATTTGATCATTGTAAACATATTTCTTTGTATTTTCACACTTATTATTTAATGATAGCTATGTCAAGAAATAAAGATTTTACAATAAGTTTCATTGACTTTGAGCAAATTTATATTTTTTGTTTATTTAGAAAGAGAGAGTCTGCCCACAGAGAGCGAGATAGTGATACATAGGTTGTGCTTCAAGTAGGTATTCGAATTGTGGCCTCCATTTATCTTTAGCTTCATGGTACTGACAGAGTAAATACAAATGAGTAGGTCATCTTCATAGAAACGCACCGAGCGCGGTTTGTATGTAAGCGCGCGCCAATACTTATGCGGCGCGCGCTTACATACAAACCGCGCTCGGTGCATTATTGGGAACGTGCACGACATTAGCGCCATCTGCCAACGAAACTTTAAGGGGCATATGTCAAAAAATAAATAACAACAGCTTTCTTATTTTTATTGATTAGAGTTGGGTATGGAATATGAATTAGGTACTGTGTAAAGAGAGGTATCAATAAGTCAAAATGGCGAGAATGCAACTACTCGCACGTACTGGCGATGTATAATATACATTCGCAATGAAGCATTCGCAATGAAGCTATCCTTGATCCGCATTTTGGCAAGATAAACAGAGGTACATGTGTGACCATAATTATGGGACAAGATGGTTCTTCAAACACCCCCATCGGCCAAAAAGGACAGAGTCCAATGTCCATTATCTCTCGCCTGCGTATAAGTCACACATGTACCTCTGTTTATCTTGCCAAAATGCGGATCAAGGATAGCTTCATTGCGAATGCGGCTTGGATGAAGGAACAGCTAACCACATCTTTTTCAACTGCCCCAAAATTGACCATTCGTTATACGTCTTCCTTCCCAAAAATTTCCCTTTTCCAACTAACCTTAAATGTATCCTTATCTTTATTAATCCCCATAGTTTGAAATCTGTAGTTAAAATTAACATTTACAAAATTAATTTGTAACAAGCAAGAGCTGGCAGAAAACTTTCCCGAAACTAAACCTCCACATTTGTGTTTATTTTTATGTGTTATGTTTATGTATTGTGTTGTCTTATTTGTGATGTCTCTTTGTTTTAGGTATTTTGCTTTGCATCACCTTTAATAAAAGAAAAAGAACACGAAGATTAGTCACTATAAAGTATAGTTCCAAAATACTGAACTGTCCTATCGATGACATTGACAGCGGGGCGCCACCGTCAATACCGAATCGCTGGTTCCGATTTTTGCCATGTTGGAAACCATAAAGTTGAACGATGGTAGCGCCCCCCTGTCATTGAGTTTCGCGGGACAGTTCAGCGTGGGTCATCTATATACGCAAGGAGTACGCAGTAGGTACCATGCGTACTGCTTACGGAAGAGCGTAGTAAAAAAGTCATTTCCAAACTATACTCGATTAGTTTCACACCCTTGCATTTTGGCTATGTATAGAATGGAAAGACGCCTCGTCTCGCTTGAAACTTGAAAATGGCACAAATCAAGTTGACCTCGACGTGTATTGCCAATATCAAAAAAGAAGAAGTAGACCAGTACTTATTATTATTCTGTGGTAGACCACAGACATGACTTGCGAGTGAGTGACAAGACTTCTTGGCGGGAATCTGAAGTGTCGTGTTAGCAGTTTTGTTTTATTTCCTCAAATTCGTGTTTGGGCGACTATTAATGTGTGATAATTATGTGTTCGTGAACGTGCATGTGTGTGGGCAAGTGAAGCAAAACAGTGCATCGTGATCCTTTTGGTTCTCTCAAGTTGTCCATAGGAGGTCTCAGTAAAGTTGTGGTGCTCAAAGGGTGGGAAGGGGTATCATCTATCATCCTTCATTATATCATTACTTGATCTCATTATGTATAATATATAACTCGTACGTATCACTTATAAACTCGAAAATGGCACAAATCAAGTCGACCTCGACGTGTATTGCCAACATCATCAAAGTGACAGATGACAGTGACAACAATGGCTGGCATGCCAAATCAAAACAGCTTGGGTTATTGAATTTGAGTTAGAGATATATTGGGCTTTTACAATATTTATGAGTATATAAACACTTCCTGTGTTTTGTTATTAATATAAGAGTAAATGGTGTAGTAGATCGAACAGTTTCTAGGACAGTGATATATACAAAGCTGTAATGGCGCAACGCTTCCCTACAAATGCTCCAAACACCGCACCACCGCCGGGAGCGCTTCAGCAGCAGCAGCGGTACCCCGTGCCTGCCCAGCCGCCCGGCTCCCCCATGCCCCCCAGACCTTACCCTGGACCTAACTTTCCTGTGAGTATTTGCTACTAAATACAGTTGACAAAATACAGTTACAGTACAGTTGACATGCCAATCAAACAAATATGTAGATGATATTCTATTAAATATTACGTCCTATCCTACACACTGAACATTGATATTGCTAAGCATGCTCTGATTAGGGCTCATACAATATAAAATTGTCTATCTTTATAGTTGGGTACAGATTAGAGCATTGCTATTGTAACGTTCTTACAAATGATACAATACAGGTAAAATGTACGACGCGGACGTTTGGTTCGCGAAAGTGTGATACGCTTGACATTTCATATAGCAGCGTGTGGTTCTGTTACAAGTAAATTCTCTATTCTATACTCACCATAAGGTTGACTCACTAAAATGTTTTAAGCATGATTTGCCTTGGTTTTTATTTATATGATAATCGAAATAAATACAATATCCATCAATAATTTAATTTTGATCAAAATTTCCTTTGACATCAGTTGATTTTAATTAAATTATTTTTGTCATCAAAACTTGGATACATATAAAAATGAATCCCTACTTACCTTGGTCATTGCGTGCTGGACCGATTTCTATAATTCTTTTTTTGTGTTGTTTCTTATTCAGGGTGGAATTTTGTAATGCCACCTGGAGGGAAAGTACTTGTAATACTGTAGATAGAAAGAAAACATTCCTTTATTTTTGAAAAGAAAGATACTGCATTCAAAGATTGTAGAAATTTTTAGAAAATTCACTACCTTACCATACAGTTTTCTGCACATAATTAAAATAATTTAAGATTTCATGGTTTTGCTTTCATTTAATTTATCAAGTTTGTTAGAGAGATTTCATCCTTATACTTAACCCTAACGATTGATGCAATAAAAATACAGCGTGTAATTTTTATCAGATTTTAGTTGATTCATTTCCCAGGTGTGGCAAGCAAATTTTTGAAAATCTTTGAATGCAGTTCTATTTCTTTTCAAAAATAAAGGAATGTTTTCTTTGAGAAAATTTTTCTATATCTACAATTTTAAGAGTACTTTCCCTCCAGGTGGCATTACAAAATTCCACCCTGTATGTAGTCAGGAGAATTTTTATTTTATTTATTTGGACAACTAACAAAACATACACATGTACATGACATGGAAATGAATTATTTTATCTAGAAGTCATAAAAGTACTTAGAACTAAGTGATGTCTTAATTGAAGGCTGACATGGCATACAATTGTTTTTATGCAGGATGGCAGGTATTTGACCGCAATTGTACCTGATGTTAAGTAAGATGCAGTCTAGGATGGTACATATCTGCCCTGTAAGTGCCTATTTACTCTTGCCTTGAAAAGGCCCAGATTATAGTGTTCAGGAAAGACAGTAGCAGGCATCGAATTCCAGTCCCTAGCTGTTGACAGTTATATATTTAAAAACAATACTAGTTATTTGCTGCCGCTGCAAAGGATTGCAGCACAGCACGCTTGAATTTCAGTGGCTTATAACAGAGAGGGTCATACTAATTTTTCTTAAGACAGGACAATACCTGTCAGGACAACTAATCATTTATATATTCTTGAAAGAACAGCCCACTACTTAATATTTTCTTCAAAGTTTCTAGCGTGTTTTTAAAAGGTTCGGTTTCTCCAAAACTATATTAAAAAAATCAAACCTTCGGTTCGGAAATGTTAAATAATTCCTGCAATCCCAAGATTCGTCACCATCGTGTGCCTATTACATATAATTTACTAACACAGCAGTCTTTGCCGTTCGTTTTCCTAACAATAAAAATGAAATATTTTTTTGTACGCAAGGCTCGCAGCGGATTCACGCCTCCGCCCGCCGGCGGCGCGGGCGCGGGACGCGGCGCGGGCGCGGGCGCGGGCGCGCCCTACGGGCCCGGCGTGGGCGTGGGCGTGGGCTCGCGTCCGCCGCCGCCTCCGCCGCAGGCCGCCAAACGCGCCGCCGACGCACGGAGCCCCATGCCACCTCAGCACAAGCCCGCTATGTACAATCCGTAAGTGATTTACGCTCGCGTAATATATCTGTCAACGTGAAATTGTGAACTCTGTCAGTTTATAATATAACGCGTTAGATTGTAAACTAACAGTGGGTTAGGTTAGGTTAGATTGTAATTTTCGATCATATTGAGAGTATTGTATCATATCTTACTATCGATTCTATCGATTTAGTAAGTATGTATACCGAATAAATCATAATCGATTATTCGATTGCAATAATCGATTATATTGCTGAAAATAAGGAATTGAATTAACAATCAAATGATAGTAATGATGGTAATCAATAAAATCGATTAATCGAATTGTTAATCGATAAATCGTTATTTGGCAATATCGATTAATAATCGATCCGTGATCGATTATGCGACAACACTACAACTTAACTGGTAGAAATCCCATTGAAACATGACTGTGTTCATGTCATTTCTCTAAATGGTACCTAGCTATGGGCCTACGCTTATAATGTAGAACATGGTTTAAATATACCATTTGTTGGCCCCACTCCTGAACTATTGCACTATTGGACAAAATAATGGATAAATAACTAACCCCCTTACTAATAAAAAGTTACACAGTTATTGATCACTGTTTTAAAATGACATTTCCATACTAAACGTCACTTTAAAACACTGATCAACGAGCGTGTAAGTTTTATTAGTAAGGGGGTTAATGTATTTAAAATGTAAGTAGATAAGTAGGTATATTAATTAATAATATTTTTTGTTTGCGCAATAAAGCACCTATTACTTTTACACATTATGTCAATTTCCAAGCAAACCCAGGAATTTTTGGTAGTTATTTATATGAAAATATATTTCTGATATGAAGGCCTAACAAATAATAGTAGTTACATTTCTGTTGGTTTTACGCCCAGATTCCATAGAATTATTCCATGGAATTAACATAAAAGTACCCATCATCCTTTAATATATTTTTTTTTACATAAAATATTTTACTGAATCTTTAATAAAACAAAATTTTAACACTCTTTTAGGGGGTTTTTTGGACTTCTTGGCGGGAATCTGAAGCGTCATGTTAGCGGTTTTGTTTTATTTCCTCAGATTCGTGTTTGGGCGACTATTGATGTGTTGAACTTGAATTTTGGGCACATTAGAATAATAATTTTTAACCAAGGTAGATAAAGTTAAAAACGGGATTATTTCCAAAAAAGTAAAATTGTCGACAATTACAGCAAGAATTTACCAAGAGTGTTATACCATTTTGGAATCCTTACTAAATGCGCCCAATTATGACGTCACTTTCCACCTTCGCGTAGTACAATTTTTTTTTTCAGAACAGTCAGTTTAAACTAGGCAAAATTTTTATTTTGAAGTTTTTTTTGGGAATAATGTATTTTTTTCATCCAAGCTGGAGCAGATTCAGGGTTACATAACAAAAAAAAATTAGGAAAAGTGAAGATTTGTGGCAACACGAGTAAAAAGACCGTCACCGTGAGTAAATTTTTTTGGTTTTTTTTAATGCCTATTATTTTGACAAAATGTCACATAGATTTTTTTTAATATTTTTCTGATAACCAGCATAACTTGCCTCAACACCCAGTTCCGGCTTGACGTTGCATTACAAAACAAGGGCACGTGTCAAAATATTATTCAAAGTTTAAAAAAGATAATTATAATATGAATTACTGTGTAATAGAAAGAGAGGTATCAATAAGTCAAAATGGCGAGAATGCAACTACTCGCGCGTACTGGTGATGTATATTATGGAACAAGATGGTTCTTCAAACACCCCCACCTGCCAAAAAGGACAGAGTTCATTGTCCATTATCTCTCGCCTGCGTATAAGTCACGCATTATACCCCTGTTCATCTTGCCAAAATGCGGATCAAGGATAGCTCCATTGCGAATGCGGCTTGGATGAAGAAACAGCTAACCACATCTTTTTCAACTGCCCCAAAATTGACCATTCGTTATACGACTTCCTTCCCAAAAATTTCCCTTTTCCGACTAACCTTTTAATGTGTCCATAACTTTACTAATCCCCATACTTTGAAATCTGTAGTTAAAATTAACATTATTTTACAAAATTAATTTGTAAAACAAGCAAGAGCTGGCAGAAAACTTTCCCGAAACTAAACCTCCACATTTGTGTTTATTTTTATGTGTTATGTTTATGTATTGTGTTATCTTATTTGTTATGTCTCTTTGTTTTAGGTATTTTGTTTAGCATACCTTTGAAAATTAAAATTTATCAAAATACCTACACCGTGTAAAATTTGCGCTCGTAATATTGGCGGAACAGTGTGCCCTGTGGCGAAAAACACAAGTTCATCGCCTTTAATAAAAGAAGAAGAACACGAAGATTAGTCACTATAACGAGGAGTACGCAGTACACGCGTACTGCTTACGGAAGAGCGTAGTAAAAAGTCATTTCCAAACTATACTTGATTAGTTTCACACCCTTGCGTTTTGCCTATGTATAGAATGGAAAGACGCCTCATCTCGCTTGAAACTTGAAAATGGCACTAATCAAGTTGGCCTCGACGTGTATTGCCAATATCAAAAAAGAAGAAGTAGACCACAGACATGACTTGCAAGTGAGTGAGTGACAGTGACTGTGACAACAATGGCTGGCATGCCAAATCAAAACAGCTTGGGTTTGGATTGAGAGTTGATTTGAATTTGAGTTAGAGATTATTTATTCAATAATTTATTGGGCATTTACAATATTTATGAGTATATAAACAATTCCTGTGTTTTGTTATTAATATAAGAGTAAATGGTGTAGTAGATCGAACAGTTTCTAGGACAGTGATATATACAAAGCTGTAATGGCGCAACGCTTCCCTACAAATGCTCCAAACACCGCACCGCCACCGGGAGCGCTTCAGCAGCAGCAGCGGTACCCCGTGCCTGCCCAGCCGCCCGGCTCCCCCATGCCCCCCAGACCTTACCCTGGACCTAACTTTCCTGTGAGTATTTGCTACTAAATACAGTTGACAAAATACATGCCAATCAAACAAATATGTAGATGATATTCTATTAAATATTACGTCCTATCCTACACACTGAACATTGATATTTCCAGGCATGCTCTGATTAGGGCTCATACAATATAAAATTGTCTATCTTGAAAGTTAGGTACAGATTAGAGCATTGCTATGTAATGTAACGTTCTTACGAATGATACAATACAGGTAAAATGTACGACGCGGACGTTTGGTTCGTGAAAGTGTGATATGCTTGACATTTCATATAGCAGCGTATGGTTCTGTTCTGTTACAAGTAAATTCTCTATTCTATACTCACCATAAGGTTGACTCACTAAAATGTTTTAAGCATGATTTGCCTTGGTTTTTTTTTATATGATAATCGAAATAAATACAATATCCATCAATAATTTAATTTTGATCAAAATTTCCTTTGACATCAGTTGATTTTAATTAAATTATTTTTGTCATCAAAACATGGATACATATAAAAATGAATCCCTACTTACCTTGGTCATTGCGTGCTGGACCGATTTCTATAATTCTTTTTTTGTGTTGTTTCTTATTCAGGGTGGAATTTTGTATTGCCACCTGGAGGGAAAGTACTCGTAATACTGTAGATAGAAAGAAAACATTCCTTTATTTTTGAAAAGAAAGAGAACTGCATTCAAAGATTATAGAAATTTTTAGAAAATTCACTACCTTACCATACAGTTTTCTGCACATAAGATTTCATGGTTTTGCTTTCATTTAATTTATCAAGTTTGTTAGAGAGATTTCATCCTTATACTTAACCCTAACGATTGATGCAATAAAAATACAGCGTATAATTTTTATCAGATTTTAGTTGGTTCATTTCCCAGGTGTGGCAAGCAAATTTTTGAAAATCTTTGAATGCAGTTCTATTTCTTTTCAAAAATAAAGGAATGTTTTCTTTGAGAAAATCCCAACTAATATTATAAATGGGTAAATCCGCGAAACAGTAAAAAACTTATGTTCCGATCGATAAAAAAAAAACTGTTGTAGTTCTGGTAAATTAAACTTCTGAATAACGATTCATACAAGTTTCCACATAAGGCGCCATGATCCATATTGATTAAATACTTCANCACACATGAATTAAGTATGTACCCAATCTAGTTGTAGTTAGGTCTGTAGTGGCGAGGGCCTGGTAATCGGTTAGACAGGGTGTCTTAGGCACCCTAGTACAGATACCAGTCTCTCACAAAGGTATTATTGCTGTATGATGATAACTTACTGTAACTAGATATAAGTTTTTATACCTCTGTGAAAGAGAAATAAAGTTTATTTATTATTTATTATTATTATTATTTATCGATAAACCCAAAAAAAAGTAGAGCCGAGCCGATGAATACTGGGTTTCTGAATGGAAACCATCGTCTCAGCAAAGTTAGCGCAGGGCGCCTCCCTCGCTCGACCCGCTGAGCGTCTGCCGTCCGGCGACGTCGCTCAGCATACGGTGTGCCCGCAGCGAGGCGTACGGCGGCGCGGGCGGCAAGCGCAAGAAGCGGCTGGCGGACAAGATCCTGCCGCAGAAGGTGCGCGACCTGGTGCCGGAGTCGCAGGCCTACATGGACCTGCTGGCCTTCGAGCGCAAGCTGGACGCCACCATCATGCGCAAGCGCCTCGACATCCAGGAGGCGCTCAAGCGGCCCATGAAGCAGAAGCGGAAGCTGAGGATATTCATCTCCAATACTTTTTATCCGGGTGAGTTTTGACGGTTTTTGGAATGTGTGAATTCATTCAAACTGCTGTAGACGTTCTTGAATTTAACTCGCTTTTCGTCGGTATTGTTTCCGTTCCATCGTGAATAGATGCTTTCTAAGAATGTCCTTGGACGCTGTGTTGATGGCTTTGTAGCTCAAAAACTGTGTCCTTTTTTTCACTCGCGAATTTTATAAACTTTTTTTTTTTGAGATAATAACAATCTCAGAATAATGAACTGTATTTCATTTTCTCTGCTATTATTTCTTATTTGACCATAATACTATGCATTTATAAAGGCAGCAAACAGGCAGGAGGTATGGCTGAGGGTAAGTACATGTAGATAAAGCCTGCATCAGTTTCATTCATAATGTTTATAATTGCTGAAATATTGATGAAATGACAATAATTACAGGACAAGGGGATAACGCAGTTGCGTCATGGGAATTGCGTGTCGAAGGTCGTTTGCTGGATGACTCTAAAAACGACCCAAACAAAGTTCCGGTTCCTTTGGTATAGTTTTATCAGTTATCTTTAGTGGGTTTAGTTCTGGTTAGGCGATAGCACTGACGTCGGATGCCTTTCAGGTTAAACGCAAGTTCTCGTCGTTCTTCAAGTCGCTCGTGATCGAGCTGGACAAGGAGCTCTACGGGCCCGACAACCACCTGGTCGAGTGGCACCGCACGTTGACCACACAAGAGACGGATGGGTTTCAGGTCAGAACTGTTAATTTTTTATCTCTTTTAAATGTATTATCAGATCATTTATTTAACATTTTTTCATTTTATTGTGTGACAAGTGATAACACATTTTCGTAAAAAGACAAGAGGTATATTCACAGTCCTTGACTAATGCAGTTGCAATAGCAACAATGTTTTTGTATGTAAGGCCGGCAATACACGGACCGCTTGAGGCAGTCAGGGTCGACAGCTTCAAGCTGCGACTGCACAGTGAACTGCAGAGTTCTATGGACGCACATACACGAACCGCTCGAGCGGTTGCAACTGATTCGGGCGGTCGACAGCACGCTAAATTTTCATCGTGCGGTCAAGCAGTCGCCAGCCATACACTGACTGCTCGAGCTGTCGACAGCTTTCGCGCAGTTACCTCCGCCCACTTTCTTAATTCCACGGCGCGCGCGCTTGTGATTTAATACCTGCTCGAGCAGTTATCACTGGCAGCTTCAAGCTGTTGACTCTTGACTGCAAGAGCGGTCCGTGTATGTTGATCACTGACTATCTGCTCGAGCTGTCCGTGTATTGCCGGCCTAAGTGATTTTTTTTTGCCAATAAAGATTTTTAAAGATTTATTTTATCTTGAGGGATTTTTATTTATCGCTCATAATAACGTTTCAATTATTGTAACTCGTCAGAGACCCCGCTGGCCCTCGCTGTGATATTTATCTGCGAATGAAGTTTAGATCTCAAATTCTGAAAGAAGGGAACTGAGTGCACGAGCGCGTCACGATTAACACGGCGGCTTCCCTTCGGCAGGTGAAGCGGCCCGGGTACAAGAACGTGCGCTGCACCATCCTGCTGCTGCTGGACTACCAGCCCATGCAGTACAAGCTGGACCAGCGCCTGGCGCGCCTGCTGGGCGTGCACACGCAGACGCGGCCCGTCATCGTCAACGCGCTGTGGCAGTACGTCAAGACGCACCGCCTGCAGGTACCCGCTGCAGCAGTACAGCTGGACCGTCGGTCCTCCTCAGCCAGATAGTTTTGGCCGCTCCGATCCTTTGTCAGACGAGCATTTTAAAGTAGTCGCCAAAGCCACGATGACCCGAACTTCATAACGATCTAACGTTCTTACCTGTGTTGGGAGCATGCGCTGACCGACCTTCAACTTTTATGTAATAATGTTTCAACTTTCAAACTACCAAATTGTCCATCTAGTCCAGTCATTATAGTAAGTTCACCTCGGAATTCGAGATACCCAGCTGTAAGTCTGTAAATACGTGTATATTGACACCCTAAAAGTTGTCTCAAAACCTACATATGATAGGGTGTAAGCAACTATTAAATTTCAAGGTCAACGGTCACAAAAATCGGTTTATTGCGCTTTTTTTAGAAATATCTCATTTCCTATGGGTTTTTTGCTATTTGTATTTATTATCAATATTGTAGAATACTAAATTCTCTACAAATTTTGTTTAAAAAATTTTTTTAATACGGTGAACCGTTTTTTTTCGAGATAGAGGGCGGAGAGCGCGCGGTCACTGCATCACTTCAGGTCAACTTAAGCGGTTTAGATTTTTCATACAAAAGGATTTTCCCGCTAATTCCCGTGGGAATTTCGGGAATTCCTTGTTGTTTACTTTTACTAAGGTACCTACATGCCAAATTTCAAGCGTCTAACTTCCGTTAAGCGTTTAGATTTTTCATACAAAAAGATTTTCCCGCTTATTCCTGTTCCCGTGGGAATTCCTAAGTATACTATAACCTGCCCAGGAGTATGAAGAATAATTGTACCAAGTTTCGTTAAAATCCGTCGAGTAGTTTTTGTTTCTATAAAGAACATACAGACGGACAGACAGACAGACAAAATTTTACTGTTTGCATTTTTGGCATCAGTATCGATCACTAATCACCCCCTGATAATTATTTTGAAAATATATTTCATGTACAGAATTGACCTCTACAGATTTATTATAAGTACTAGCGGCCGCCCTCTATCTCGAAAACGGTTCACCGTATAAAAAAATTTTTTGAACAAAATTTGTAGAGAATTTTGTATTCTACAATATTGATAATAAATACAAATAGCAAAAAAACCAATAGGAAATGAGATATTTCCAAAAAAAAGCGATTTTTGTGACCTTTGACCTTAAAATTTAATAGTTGCTTACACCCTACCATATGTAGGTTTTGAGATAACTTTAAGGGTGTCAATATACAAGTATTTACAGACTTACAGCTGGGTATCTCGAATTCCGAGATTCGTACTTAATTTAAGCTTAAATGATTGGACTAATCGCTGTGTTGAGATAATACGAACACCAATATTTGAAATCGACATTAAAGAGAACAAATGGCGTTCCCCAGGACCCGCACGAGCGCGAGTACATCGTGTGCGACAAGTACCTGGAGCAGATCTTCGGCGCCTCGCGCATGAAGCTGGCCGAGGTGCCCGGCCGCCTCAGCGCGCTGCTGCACGCGCCAGACCCCATCGTCATCAACCACGTCATCGCCGTCGAGCCGCCGCACGACACCAAGCAGACCGCCTGCTACGACATCGACGTCGAGGTACGCTCCTGCAGCCCCGGCCTCATCCACCGCGACACCAAGCAGACCGCCTGCCTAGACATCGACGTCGAGGTACGCTCCTGCAGCCCCGGCCTCATCGACCGCGACACCAAGCAGACCGCCTGCCTAGACATCGACGTCGAGGTACGCTCCTGCAGCCCCGGCCTCATCGACCGCGACACCAAGCAGACCGCCTGCCTAGACATCGACGTCGAGGTACGCTCCTGCAGCCCCGGCCTCATCGACCGCGACNGAGTTGCACCATCTTACTTTAACTTTAACAAACGTCAAAATTCTGTCAAACTCCATACAAAAAGGACCGGTTACCGTTATAGTTACGGTCAAAGTTAGGTGGTGCAACTCAGCTTAAAACTAAGAAAGATTGATGAAAAAGAAACATTTCGTTTTAAACCTTAACCGTATGACAATAAAGTGCACAATGGTATTTCGTATTGCAACCTAAGCCCTGATTGTCTCTTATTGGTCGTAGTAAAAATATAGTAAAATGCGTAACCAATTAGAGACGCGGTGAGCACGTGACCGGAGCGATGCGCTTACGCTAAAATTTCTACAAAGTGGTCAGGCGGAAGAGTCCCCGATAGTACGCTCCTGCAGCCCCGGCCTCATCCACCGCGTCGTCGCCGGCGAGCCGCCGCACGACACCAAGCAGACCGCCTGCTAAAGCCTGGTCCGTGAGCACGTAGAATCCCGTCCAATGACCCCAAGCTGCTCATCCTCGCGCGTAATTATATTGCAGCAACATAATTACGTGCGAGCGATAAGGATGGGTAGCTTGGGGTCATTGGACGGGATTCTACGTGCTCACGGACCAGGCTTTACGACATGACGTCACGTCGTCTGTGGGAGGCCAGGTCTATCGCGACGAGGCTCCGCACCCAGTCGGAACCTTCCCGGGGCGCTGTCGTATATAATTTGTTTCGTCTAATTGCAAAGATCATTATTGTTTTACAGGTGGATGACACACTCAAGACCCAGATGAACAACTTCTTATTGAGTACGGCGAATCAACAAGAGATTCAAGGCTTGGATTCTAAAATACATGAGACTGTACGTATCTTGTTATGTTTTTAAACATATATTTCCATAATAATAAACAAAGATCACAAAAATAATGAATTGGTGGTAAAATTCAGGTGGACACGATCAACCAGCTGAAGACGAACCGCGAGTTCTTCCTGAGCTTCAGCAAGGACCCGCAGCAGTTCATCCAGAAGTGGCTCGTCAGCCAGTCGCGCGACCTCAAGGTGAGCTGCGGCGCCCACAGTCGGCACAAAGCTCCGTTGATCATGACACTTATTCGCTGCTTATAAAAATAATAAATAGAATTCCTACACATACACACATCAACATGGTCTAGGGATATTTCAATGAGGGTTTTCGCGAATGAAAGATCCGCTAGATGGCGGGACGTGGATGTGGGGTCTGACTGCTGCGTGATTGGTGGATTTTGACATATCTGTCAATGTCATGTCAAAAATAACCAATCATGCAGCATTTGGACCTCGCGTCTACTTATTGCCATCTGACGGATTTTTCATTCGCGAAAACCCTCATTAAACCTAAATAACTAAAATTCTATAAACTTTTTGTTAAGACACCTACACATTAAAATAAACCTTGTTTAATTAGCCTATCTAATCTGATAGACTTTTTGATAAAGTTAAGTTTAAAAAAAAATTGGCCAAGTGCGTGTCGTGTCACGCGCAGTGTAGAGTTCCGTAGTTGTCCGTTGTTCACACAATATAAAGTCTGTTCGCCGAGAGTTGATAAATATTATGAAATGTCTTGCAATAGCGACTGTCGATTAATTATCGCAATCTGTATGGCGGGCGTCGTTTGTCACAACGCGCACTGAGTACCGTGGTACGAGCCACGCAGCTGTCGTCAAGCGCCCCGGCCGGCGGGCGGCGGAGGCCACAGCGTGACCACTTTTAGTAGATTTCTACTTTTTTGGTAGATTTGAGGCAAAGAGAACGATGATTTAGTAGTGCGAAATCGTTTAGTAGATTTTGGTAGATAATTGGTATTTTTAGAACATTCTTATAAATGGTAGTCCAAAATTAAATTGTAACCGAGCCGAGAATCCAGGCCAAAAAAAAGGCCAGGCCAAATAATCTACCAACTTTTTCATTATATCGACAAAAATAATTAGCGGGCCGCAATTTATAATGAGTTTAGAACCTCTGATATTTAATTTTTTTTTTATCAACTCTCGGCGAACAGACTTTATTTCAGAAGCAAGCAATTACGTCATCTAAAGTCGCTTTCAATATTTTCTTCAAAGGAATTTTTATTTTGTAAGAAATTTTATAATACATTAGTTATACGACTATTACTCCTAAACTAACTGCTCTATCTTAACCGTTATAGTTTTCCTTGAAAGTTCATAAAAAGCACTANAGTTATACGACTATTACTCCTAAACTAACTGATCTATCTTAACCGTTATAGTTTTCCTTGAAAGTTCATAAAAAGCACTATTATCATGAATTTTCCCAGATTTTTCAAGCCAACAGTTTAGTTTTTAGAGGGGGCGGGGGGGGGGGGGGACGCCCTACTCGAACGAAAATTGGCACCCTAAATCGAAAAATGGTCTTAGAAATCCCTAAGCCATTTTAAAAGACCTATCCAACGATACCCCACACGATGCACGATGGGGTAGAAGATGAAAAAAAATCATCCCCACTTTACATGTACCTAGATGAGCTACCCTAAAAAAAATTTTTTTTCTCAAAAATTTCTTTTTTCCAAATTTTTTTCTACCATTTTGTCGGCGTGATCTTTAAACATACCTCCACAAAATTACAGCTCTCTAGTGCCAGTAGTTTCCAAGCAAAACCTCGGACAGACAGACAGACATATCGAAACTACAAGGGTTACTTGTCAGGACTACGGAGCCCTAAAAATAGTCTTAGAAACCCCTAAGCCATTTTAAAAGACCTATCCAACGATACTCCACACGATAGGGTAGAAGATGAAAAAAAATATCATCACTACTTTACATGTATGGGAGCTACGCTAAAAAAAAATTTTTTTTTTCAAAATTATAATTTTCCGTTTTGTCGGCGTGATTTATACCTCCACAAAATTACAGCTCTCTAGTGCCAACAGTTTCCAAGCAAAACCTCGGACGGACAGACAGACATGATGAAACTATAAGGCCCAGAAAAGACGGTGAAACGCAACTGCAACGAAACTCCAACTGGTAGACTTTTGAGTTGCATCTAAGTTTCTGCCATAGCGTCCGTTGAGAGACCACACATGACGCGACCAGTTAGAAACTTTCAGTTTCAGTTTCATTCATAAGAATCATCAGAAAGTTGCAGTTGCGTTTCACCGTCTGTTCTGGGCCTAACTACGGAACCCTAACAAACTTAGAAGAAGAGGAAAAACTTAGACAACATTTCAATATTAACTTTATTTTTGAAACATGAAAACCTAAACAAAACAACTATTATTTTTTTTATAAAAATTGTTGAAAATTTAAACTTAATAATCCGTGGATCCACCTAAGACTCTCCTGACACATCCTGGCCGGGCTGGCCAGGCCTGAGGGGGCCCCGGCCCAAGATGGGCCTCATAAGAAGGCTCAAAGTCACCCAAAGGGCGGTGGAACATGCTATACTCGAGTTTATCTGCGTGGTCGAATCAGAAATAATGAGATTCGCAGGAAAACAAAAGTGTATAGCCCGCAGAATTTCTAAAAGACTTGCTTTTAGTTTAGGAACTTTAGTTCATTTGGCCGGCCGTTTGGTGTAGTGGTTCGGAATGGACTACTATGCCGAGAGGTCCCGGATTCGATTCCAGGACAGGCGGAAATGACTTGACTTACTTGACTTATGGTCCTATGTCCCCTAGATGGGGCAGAGGGCGTCCACAACAGTCCTCCATCTCGTTCGGTCTTGAGCTTCTCGCTTGATCTCGCTCCAGGTCTTGCCGATCTTCTTCGCCTCGTCCGCTACAGTGCGCCGCCAAGTTTGCCTGGGTCGACCACGTTTGCGTTTTCCTTGGGGATTCCAATCCAGAGCCTGCTTAGGGATGTGATCGGGGTCCCTTCGGAGAGTGTGGCCAATCCAGTTCCACTTGCGGCGCTTGATCTGCTGGTCGATCGGAATTTCGTGGCAGCGTTCCAATAGCTCGACGTTGGAGATTTTCTCGGGCCAGTATATGCCGAGAATTCGACGAAGGCAGCGGTTGATGAAGACCTGCAGCTGGTGCGAGATAACCTTGGTGACCTTTCACGTTTCACACCCATAGAGCAGAACGGATTTAACGTTGGAGCCGAATATTTTGATCTTGACCCTTCGGGTCAATTTCCGTGACTGCCATATGGGGCGAAGTTGTGCGAAGGTAGCTCTGGCCTTGGCAATGCGCGAAGTGATGTCCTCTTCGGTACCTCCAGTTTCTGACACGACGCTCCCGAGGTAGGTGAAATTGTGGACTCGTGCCACATCCTCTGCACCAATCCGTAATGGCGTGCAATTTCTCACACCAGATCGCATCTCTTGGGTCTTCCGGCAGTTAATTTTGAGCCCTGTGATACCCGCTTCTCGATGTAGGTCATCAAGTTTGGACTGCATATCGTGATGCGTGTGGCTCAGCAAACAGAGGTCATCGGCATAATCTAAGTCTTCTAAGACTCCGATTATACCCCACTCTATTCCACGCCGTCGCCACGAAGTCTACCTAACCTTTGTAGACTTTGAAAAGGCCTTTGATACGCTGAAGTGGGCAAGTATATTATGGTCGCGACTCGCTGACATTGGTGTCCCGCCGAAAATCATCGACCTACTGAAGGCCATCTACAGGAAATATTCTTGTACGGTGACTCACGACGGCCTCATCTCCGAAGACATCGAGGTGCATGCGGGCGTCCGGCAAGGCTGCCTGCTTTCGCCCCTTCTCTTTCTGGTTGTCTTGGATGGAGTCATGAATCGCGCATATCAAGACAGGCGGAAATAGAAATGATGAATTTCAGTTATGGGTTTTGGTGTTACTATGTATAAGTAAGTATGTATTTAAAAAAATATAAGTAGTATGTCTGTTAAGCTAGCACCCATAACACAAGCATTTTAGTTGGTGCTGTGTGAAATTGACCAAAAATATTTGTGCAATATAATATTTGAAACACTTCGATTAGAGTATAACGCAGCACTTTTGCAATAAAATGTATGTATACTAGATGTTGAATATAATGTGAGCTGCAAAACTGTTACTCTAATATAAATTTGTTCGTTTAAGAATTATTATACTGGTGCTCTGCGAGCTATGTGCCCTGCGTTCTGCCACTTGATTTTAGCGGTTCTGCGCGCCACTTAGTCACTTTGGTTCTTCTGCAGATCGCCTCATTTCTGATTCAATCATACAGGGAAACCGTGAGCATAGCACGCTCCATCGCCCTTCGGGTGATGGCCGCTGGGGCAGAAAAGTTCTCGACTGGCGACCACGAGCCGGAAGACGTAGTGTGGGCAGGCTTCCCACTAGGTGGACCGATGATGTGGTGTAGGTCGCGGGAGGTGCCTGGATGCGGGCGCCGCATGTCTGGTCTTTGCGGAGCCTTCGTTCAGCAGTGGACGTCATTCGGCTGAAACGAACGAACGATCGCTCAATCCTTCCGATTAACCCATAAATTACATTCACATTCGGCGCCGACGCCGTCGCCGCATCGCTGCACCGGTCTCCTTCGGGTCCGGCGCGAGGCACACGACCCGCGCCGTGCAGGAACTCGCCGGCTCCAAACGACACCGGTGCGGCGACGCCGAGGGCGGAACGTTCGCTCAACTCCGCACTCTCGCTCCGCAGACGATGAACGGCTCGGCCGGCAACCCCGAGGAGGAGCGCGTGCACGCCTTCTACGCGCAGCCCTGGGCCGGCGAGGGCGTCGCGCGCTACCTGCACGCGCGGGTCGCCGCGCGCCGCCGCGACCTCGACGCCCAGCTGCACGCGCCGCACGCGCCCCACCTCGCGCGCCTCTAGGGGGCCTGCACGTGCGGGGCGCGCCTCTAGGGACCTGCACGCGCGGGGCCCGCCACCTCGACGCGCCGCACGCGCCCCGCCTCGCGCGCCTCTAGGGGCCCTGCACGCGCGGGGCCCGCCACCTCGACGCGCCGCACGCGCCCCGCCTCGTGCGCCTCTAGGGGCCCTGCACGCGCGGGGCCCGCCACCTCGACGCGCCGCACGCGCCCCGCCTCGCGCGCCTCTAGGGACCTGCACGCGCGGGGCCCTGCACATCTCGCCCCTGCCCTGTAGCCCACAGTGATCAATAAAAGTCGTTTGCACCCGTACTTTATCGTTTTATTTATGAAATTCTCGAGCTCCTGTAAATGAAAAAGAAGATACCTTTTGTTTTACCACGAATGACGTTCACCCGGAGAAAAGCCAAATTCGAGGGGATTCAAGTTTCACATCTACCGGCCCTGAGCCACCACCGTGCATGGTCGCTTGTGCTTCCCGCGACCTTCACTACATTTTTGGTTTGAACACTTAAAACGAACGAGGTGGCTTGGCGCGACCTCCCGCAAGAAGGAACGATCAGGGACAGCCTCATCATAGCCTTTGGATAATTGTCATTTTTAACGCGCATTTTTTAACATGTAGGACCTATGACTATGTAGGACATATGATTTTGTGGCTACACAGTATGTTACGTTTCACCCTCTTGCGTCAGTTTACAATTTCGCTGAATAGAAGTAATATATTCCAAGCAATAGTATTTTTACAATTTTACGATGACAGACTGCTCTGCTGTACGAACGGATATATGCATCTTATTTATTTATAAATATATAGGTCTGCCAACATTGTTACTTAACAGCTTGTACTCGTACACTTAAAAATCAAAAAAGTTTCAATGCAACAATTTTGTTTGGAAAGAAATAATCGTACGGTACTTAAGAAATTTCCTTCTCGTTGTCCACCTTATTAATGGGGACAACGGGAAGTAATACAACAGGAATACATCACATTGCTTGCACTATTAAAAATACAGTTTATTGACAAAGTAGGTACATTAGGAATAAATCAAAACGTCTTATCTTAAAATCTGAAATGTGGCTATCTTATCTCACAAAACAACTGCTGAGCTATGATCAACACTTGAGATGAGATACAGATAACGCTTGAGAGCAGTGTGCTGCAGTAGCCTTCTAAATTCAAGTAGGCAAGTAAATAACTCGTGAAATATTTTTGGAAGATAAGTAATGACTACCTTAATATCTAGGGATTACAAAATTTATTAAAAGGAATTAAAGTCGATTAACATTTATGATATGTCATCATTCATTCGCTTGGTATCTAAGTAACAGTATCTTGTTCTACATTTCAGGAATATGGATATAAGCCTGCAGCTTGGGTAGTACAAAAATACGAGTTTCTACAATCGTCAATATACCTACTTAGTACTTTTCAGTTTTGATGACTGTTTTCAAGAATCAATTCATCATAAGATGATCTCATTCGCACCATTTGACACTGTCCACATCTGGCAACGTGTGAAAATGTGTAACTAAGTAAGTACCTACCTACCTAATGTTTCGACAGAAGCGGAACTCAAATTATCATCATCATTACTAAGACAGTAAGTAAACAGGTAGCTGGCGACGCAGTGTGCGCCGGAGTCGACGCCGCACTACGCAAACATCATCAACGTATAATTCGCACGATAAAGCCAGCCTTATAAACGATACCACGCTTTACGCGCGCACAAACAAACTGTCTTCACTGAAAGGTGCTTACCGTTTGACAAGGCCTGACTGACGTGATTAATTATTTCATTAGCAGACAACAAAATTGTGCATATAGACTTACGTAAAGTGTGTTTGCAGATTCAGTGCACGGACATCCATCATGTTTGGGAGTTCCAGAGACGTGTCTCCGGAGGAGCGAAATTCACTCAGTAGTAAGTGGATTTACTACTTACCGCATGAATCCATGCATCAAAGCCATGTCAACCAGGCAACACTGACAAATTGCTTATTTAAATAAACAAGAAGTCGTTCACACATTATTTCAGGTCGACTCGGTCACTAAAAGACTAATTGGCGATTTTTCTTATTTCTCATTCATTGATGTTTGACTTTTTCGAAAGTTTAACGATAATAATGGAGGATCATTTATCAAGGAAAGCAATTAGAATCATCCGACTCCAGTCATTAATTGAGTGACATGACATTAAATAGAGACAAAAACAATTAAGTGTTTTTAAATTATGTAATTATGCCTAATTTTTACCCGACAGCGCCAGAAGGAGGGTTATGTTTTTAAAGTTGAATTCTCACCATTTAGCATGCGCGTATTTAGACCACCCCACAACGGTCGATCTAGTCTAGTGCCCGCCCCAGCATGTTAGCCTTGTTGTCACGTTGGCATGGCAAGTCAGGGGTCAGATTCTTCGTAGGTACGTGATTGATGTAACAAATTCGTCATGCTCAGGTTAGCTAGTATAAAAAAATACAACTTGTTATTATCATACCTAATTCTTATTTATTGTAACTTACCTAATTAATTAAGAGTAGGTATTAAGACCAAAATTACTAATTTATAAAATTTAGCTGTTTGTGTCTTTGTCAGTGAAGAATTAAATGAGTATTAAGTACTCACTAAGCAGGATTAAGGTGCGGCGGATTTAAAAAAATATTAATAATTCACTAACGATAAGATCAACAGAGGTCATTGCTTCGTATGACATTAAAATATATTATTAGTTAGAAGAACACAATTTAGGTTTTGTTAATTTTTCCAATTAGTAGGTATTTAATATTGATTGATTACCTACTTAACACTTTCTCGAACAGTAACCCAGACACAATAGAAGTTTAATTGTTATGACGGCTATAGTAGTTCACTGTCCAGGAAAGAGTTAATTTGCAATTTTGAGAATAGAGGTAACTTACTCAATAGGTAGGTACTCAATAAGGTATTGAGTTTTGAACTTTTAAACTACAAAAATGCAAATGATCACGGGCCAAACGACGACCGGGTATTTGTGCTGGTTTTCCGTCCAGCTCCTGTTTTCGTCCATTTGACTGAGCTGCCACAAACACGTGCGAAATTTGAATGCGACCTGCCTTCCCGTAAAACTGACAATATCCTGTGAGGCCATTGAAACGGAGCCGCGAGTTATTGTCCTATAATTGTTTGGCCCCGTCTCAGGCTACGACTGGGGAATGGTGAATCCCCTGGGGTCGTCCAACTCCACACAGGCACAAAATCTATTTCGTGCACAGGTGCGCCGCCGCCACGCGCCTCGTATCTGAAATCCAAATCTTAAAATGTGCTCGTGCCTATTTATCATCGCGCACGAATGTCAACGATAACTCAATTTTATTGTATTATAGGTATAACTGTGGTATACCTATCTATTCAATGCTTATTTTTGAAACGGCATTCGAGGGCATCACGCTACGAACGAAACGGATCTCCGGACCGATCTCGGGTCGGAATAATTCGTTCACCTTTCAGAACTGGCGTGCGGATGCGGCGCCTGCGGGGCGCGCGAGGCGGCGCGCGGCGACGAGGCGTGGCGCGTGCTGGCGGCGGAGGCGCTGGGCACGGCGCTGCTGGTGGCGCTGAGCTGCCTGCCCGCCTGCGCGCCCGCGCCGCCGCTGCAGCGCGCGCTGGCCGCCGGGCTCGTGGTCACCGTGCTCGTGCAGGTGCGACCCGCGGCTCCGCGACGCGCCCGTCGGCGCGGCTCGGTCTGACGCGCCCGCGTTGTGTTGCAGTGCTTCGACCACGTCTCGGGCGCGATGTTCAACCCGACGGTGACGCTGGCGGCGGCGCTGCGCGGACGCGTGGCGGGGGTGCGCGCGGCGAGCATGCTGGGCGCGCAGCTGGCGGGCGCGGCGGCGGGCGCGGGGCTGCTGCGGCTGCTGGCGCCCTCCGCGCCCGGGGCCTGTGCGCTCTGCCTCACGCTGCCCGCTGACCACGTGTCCGTCTATAAGGTGCGCTTAGAAATTTCTGTTTCGACGAACTAGGTGTGAACGTTTGATTTTTTTTATCGTCGGCGTTCGCTTTTCAGGCGGCGGCGATAGAAGCCGTGCTGGGCGGCTGCCTGGCGCTGGCCAACTGCGCGTCGTGGGACGCGCGCAACCGGCTGCTCACCGACTCGTGGCCCGCGCGCATCGGGCTCATCGTGGCCGGGCTCACGCTGGTCGCGGTGAATCTCTCGTCCTTCCAGCCCGGAGGCCTCGATCGCCTGTTTAACGCTTAATGAACGCGGTGCTCGAGTACAGTACTGGTCTCCTGGTCATGAGTGGACTAAATGTCCCCCGAAGGGCGGGTGGAGCGTGCTATGCTCGGAGTTTCCCGGCGTATCGAATCGGTGACGAGATGATCCACACGAAAACCAAAGTAGGCACATAGCTCGTACGCCGCAGACGTAGTGCGACCGGTACCTACTCTTATGAGCCCATTTTGGGGTTTGTTGTTTTCCAACCGGACTAAAGAGCAGTATGCATCAATGAAAGAAATGTCTTTACTGAAACGCAATTCTCGTGAAATATGTATACCTACTCGTAAAAAAATGTTGGCCTCATAATAATACACATTTTGAGCAATGTTTATCTCTACCTGGACACGTGCCAGGCTGTCCACGCACGATTCCACCGTCCGGCCTTCACGATTCAACCTCTTTGTCATTGCATTACTATTTCTATTGCATACTGCGACACTACAAGCGCATCGCGTTGACACAGACGTTCGTTCCAGGGCGAGCTGACCGGCGCCAGCATGAACCCGGCGCGCAGCTTCGGGCCCGCGCTGTGGGCCATGAACTTCGACAGACACTGGGTCAGTGCACAGCGGCTTCCAGCTACATCACAACCGCTCTTGTAATGTCGTCAGATCGAGTGACCGGTTTAAAGAAAGAAAGAAAGAAAAAATATTTTTCGGTACCAAAAATATAACGATACAAACCAACAAATTTAATAGAGCAAAAAATAAAAGTTGTACCAAATCGGTCTCTAAATAATAATAATCATAATATCTTTATTGCTTCATGTGGTACAAACAAGGTATAAAAAAACCAGCTCTGCCCATTTAGCAGGAAACTTGAGGTCAGTTCGCAGCATACTGAATACATAATAATGAAATGTAAATGTATTCGCCAGGTGTACTGGCTGGGCCCGCTGAGCGGCTCGGCGCTGTGCTCGGCGCTGTACGCGTGGGCCTGGCCCGCGCCGCCGCACGCGCCCGCGCGCGCCGACCCCTGCTGCCCGCGCGCCCCCTGCGCCCCGGGGCCCACCTGTGCCCCCCTGTGAGCCCCGCCTGCCCCGCGCCCGCAGCCGAGCGGCGGCCCGTCTGACTCGCGCGAGCCGCGGCAGGGGACACAAGTGACCAGGGAGTCTTTTACTGCCGACCTCTGATTGGAAATCGCTAGTGATGTGATGAATTTATCGAGACTAGTAAACTTGTGTGCGTGTAGGTTGTGATTAGATGTAGTAGTCGGTTCGCTCTGTATCTACGACGCCGCCGGTGTTTCGCTTGAGTAGATTACTGTAGTCAGCCCGATACAGTTTAGTATTTTGTGGTTTGGTGGAGGCCTCACCTCACACACGAAACATTAACGAATCGCCAAAATTCACATTATTAAAGGAGCATATTGAAATCAGGCCCACATTTGGCAGGCAAACATGTGTGCCTGAACAGACTACTTATTACCTACCAATTAATAAAAGACAAGAATCCATTACTAACTTAATCTCTACCAGCGTTGTTTTTTACTACTCCCTATCTGAAGATTTTACATGAGAGCTTATCAGCTTATATTTGTTATATTTTACAATCAAAATTTATTACCGGTCAAAACCTTTTTTGCCTGATTTTTGCAGTCAAAAGTGGTTTAACCGGTAATGAGTTTTATTTTTTTGTTAGGTACACCAATGATAGAATAAGTTGGAGTCAATATCACTTGACTGATTTGTCCAGTCAAAAGTGGTTTTGACCGATTATGAGTTTTGACTGTAACAGATACATCATCATTTCAGCCAGGACGTCCACTGCTGAACAAAGGTCTCCCCCACGTCTCCCCCAATGATTTCCACAAAGGCCGGTTGTTGGTAGCGGCCTGCATCCAGCGCCTTCCTTCCTTTATGAGGTCGTCAGTACACCTTGTAGGTGGACGACGGTAACGTTGCAGCTCAGTACGGCTAGCACGAAAAACTTTGCTTGCGTATTCGAATCGCCATCAAAAGATTTAGTACGAAACATGTACCTTGTAAACATGTCGTAAAGTGAACTTAGAATGAGAAATGGTTGCACGAAACTTATTTTGAGAATCAAAATTGTCACGTTATCTAAGATGTTTGGACGTTATCGTTTAATTCGAAGGTTGAGTACCTATCGAATTTTGTCGAATACCAAACGATTCGAAGACGAAAGTTGTTCATACTAGAGGTACATGGTAGAGCTAGAGAGGTTAGGTGTGCTCGCTAGCGAGTACGTCAAAAAAATCTATGAAGATTTTATTTCTTGAAAGTAGCCGCTAGGGGCGCTGCACAATATGTCATACATTTAATGTCTTTTTTTTACGTAGTCGCTAGCGAGCACAACTAACGTAAACTCATGGTAAGCACACAGATACCTCTAACGACATCTATTGTCATGATTAGAAAGTAACTTGAAGCCACGATAGCCGAACGGTGAAGGGGTCGGACTGGCCGACTCGAGATCCAGAGCGGGTTCGAATCCTACTGCCACTCGACTATTGTGGTGAGTGATGATTATTTGGTTTACCATGAGGGGCTAACGGGACTATTAGTAATTTGTGCAATTTACAATTAACTAAAAATCTTTAAAAAAATCTAATGTATAGCGCTGATTTCGTATCGTTAAGGAATCAATTCAAATTAATTTGGAATTAAACATTAACAAATGTTTTTATTTTTCTAATTCTATTTTTACATTATTTTTTTCATTGTTTTGGGAATTGTTTGGCAGTATTAAGCCGCAATAATCGACAGTTTTTGCGATGTTAATCCCATAAATTTCTGATGCGATGCAAAATGCATCCACGATCATTTTCTAATTAATATTTAAATGTATTTTACACACATGAGGTAAGGCCCGTCGGAGAATTTATTTATTTTCGTGATTGATATTTTTTGGTATTTCAATACATGGTGCTTTATGTGATCGTTTCTTCCAGATTTCCCTAATTGTTGTTTTGGCTGAGGGTTTGGGATGCTGAAGACTGCGAGTGAAGTCTAATTAGCGAGCAGTCTTCGTAAGTATTTGGATACCATAACTGGTTCTTCATAACCTTATATTGACACACTCCCATGTGACGCTGACACACCTGTTTTTCGTTTCAGATGCGGGAATTTAAATTTTGAGAACATAAAATAATTTTGTAATACCTAACTACTATGATGTATTTTAATTTACATCATCATCTTTTGTGCTATCATCTCTTCGCATTTCCTTGTTCTCAAACTTCTGAACCTGCAACAGTTTGAACGCTTTCGTGTCATGGAAATGCACATGCTTCATCTGGCACTTGAGGATGTGGAAGACGCCGCTTGTGGCCTGAGAATGTGCGAGACCCGTTGAACCACAGAAGAAGAGAGGGACGTTCAGGGTAAGCTTACAAACTGCATGCCTTCCAAGGTACCCTTTTCCATCATTCAAGTAGGAGTCTTTCTGACCTAGCAACGCGCAGTTATTTTTTTCATTAAGGTCTTTTCATATTAAGGCTAAGTTTTAAAAAATTTGAAGTGGCAATAATATTCACTAAACCGAACCCAATTTTAACGACGCTGAATCCCTTGAAGTTCGCACTAACGGTTACACTATCCCCCTTATCACAAAAAGTTAGACTTTGGTTGAACCCTGGTTTAAATTGACATTTGGTACGGAAATGTTACTTTAAACCATGTTTCGTCTCAGGTTAAACTTTTTTGTAATAAGGGGGTATAAGTTTAGTTGTGTAGATGCACATATTGCACTAATTAAAATAAGTTACATAATTATATTTAACGTATCCATACAACTGACAAGAATAATAAATTGTGTCAATTGAGAGCAAGTGAGGTGCTCCTAAATCCACGGTGAGGTGAGTCGATATAATGAGCGCCCCACCCTGACTCTGACCTGTAAGGTACCTACCTAACCAAACCTAAACTTAAATTATCTAGGTACTTACTAACTACGAAACTTAATATTCGTAACAATCCGTAATTTGTACATTCTATACAAAAAAATGCGAATTTAAAACAAAAAGCTCGGTTATGACAGAAACAGGTTGCTATACAGTGGCTAAAAAGGGTTACATCTATTATAACACACGTAGGTTCGGTAACGCACTGACGCTTTATTTTTATAGACCACAGACAATACATGTCATAGATAATATAAGTCAAAGATATTATAACACCCCCACTTATAAAAATAAAGGTTACACTAAATAATTTTTTACATCCTGTATACCCAATAACTTTACAAAGTTGTAATGCTTTACACTGCTTAATGATTTGAACAATCTCTACTGTAGTGGTACCTTATATCTACAGGGTGTCCCGTAATGTAACGTCAAGCCGGAACTGGGTGTTGAGGCAAGTTGTGCTGGTTATCAGAAAAATATAAAAAGAAATCTATGTGGCATATTTTAAAAATAATAGGCATTTAAAAAAAATCAAAAAATTCTACTCCAGGTGACGGTCCTTTTACTCGTGTTGCCACAAATCTTCACTTTTTCCAAATTTTTTTTTTGTTATGTAACCCTGAATAATGCCTCTCTAAATTGTTATCAAAATTACAAAACCAGCTGCTCCAACTTGGATGAAAAAACACATTATTCCCAAAAAAAAATATCAAAATAAAAATTTTGCCTAGTTTAAACTGACTGTACTGAAAAAAAATTGTACTACGCGAGTGTGGCAAGTGACGTCATAATTTGGCGCATTTAGTAAGGATTCCAAAATGGTATAACACTTTGTAAAATCTTGCTGTAATTGTCGACAATTTTTGTTTATTGGAAATAATCCAGTTTTTAACTTTATCTACCTTGGTTAAAAATATTATTCTAAAGTGCCCAAAATTTAAGTTTCTGGCTTAAGTGAGGTGGAGAAGCCATTTTAAAAGGTATGAGCGGGACGGAGAGGGCCATCTTAACAAGCAGGGATGTTATGGATATGCGTAACCGTAACCGAAACTATCGGATATCCGAAATAAAAAAATGTCCATAACCGTAACCGAAAATGATTCAAAAGTTACGGATAGTTTCGAATAAAGGCCAAACTGCAAAACTCTATGAAATTTGCAGTATACACGCCGCAGCTGCAATGCCGCGCTGCCGATTTCATAGTTTTGCAGTTTGCGGTTGCAGTTTGCGGTCTGCGGCCCGTCTTGGAATTGTACCTTAAATCTTAATATTTGTTACCAACTTGTCTGGNGTTCGAGTCCCCGATAGTACATAGTAGAGCTAGAGAGGTTAGGGGCGCTCGCTAGCGAGTACGTCAAAAAATCTATGAAGATTTTATTTCTTGAAAGTAGCCGCTAGGGGCGCTGCACAATATGTCATACATTTAATGTCTTTTTTTTACGTAGTCGCTAGCGAGCACAACTAACGTAAACTCATGGTAAGCACACAGATACCTCTAACGACATCTATTGGCATGATTAGAAAGTAATTTGAAGCCACGATAGCCGAACGGTGAAGGGGTCGGACTGGCCGACTCGAGATCCAGGGAACGCGGGTTCGAATCCCACCGCCACTCGACTAATGTGGTGAGTGATGATTATTTAGCTTACCATGAGGGGCTAAGCAGCGGTTCCTAAACTTATTTAGTCTACTGCCCACTTTGAGAATAAATTATTTTTAGCGCCCGGCCCCCCGTCAAGAGTCGAGCTCAGTCGGTGTCTAAGAGTCCTCCTAGTAGATGACGCCTCCCAAGCCTCTACACAACGTCCCGATTTTTTTTCTGGGTCTCTTACCGCCCCCCTTTAAGCCTGCAACGCTCACAAGGGGGCGTTATCGCCCACTTTGGGAAAGACTGGGCTAACGGGATTATTAGTAATTTGTGCAATTTACAAATATGTAACTAACTAAAAATCTTTTAAAAAATCTAATGGATAGCGCTGATTTCGTATCGCGAAGAAATCAATTCAAATTAATTTGGAATTAAACATTACCAAATGTTTTTATTTTTCTAATGGACATGGCGCACAATTTTTGTTGAAGATGCCAAAAAAAACTACAAAAAATTAGAATGAATACTGTATTTTTACTTTTTTGATATCTTTAAAAATGACTGAAATATTCAAGCTCAAAGTGCGCTCTTCCGCTAGGAGCGATTTTCCGCGCGGATTTTGAAAATGTGACGTAGTAACATGAAAAGCTGCATGTAAGATATTATCTGTGTACAATGGTTAGAATGGTTAGTAGGGGAGCCGAAGCGGGGATTTCGGGACTTAATAAAGAGTGGCAGACTAACATACAAGGAAATACTTTGTACCTGGTTGATTACCTTTAAGTATGAATTTTTGATATAAAACGGCATTAGTTCTCATGCCTCTCACCCAAAAAATACCTCAATTAAGCCCAAATTTGAGACCGCAGCCAAACTTTGAGTGACGATGGAAACTAGCCTAGATGGAGGACACATGAAATTGAACTTCTGCTTCTTCATTGATAAAGACTTATCATTTACCATACCTTATCATTTTGTATTCCATTTTCAAGTCACTTTTTTTTCGCTTACTGTTTAAACAAAACTCGGGATTTTTTTAAATCTCAGGTCTTTTGAACGCACATCTGAACGATGTCTGGTTTTAATTTCTTCAGTTACTCCGTGACCATGGCGCTTGCAACAGTGCCGAAATATTGGAAACAACTGAAGGCAATCCCGTCAGTAATAATAATAGGAAAATGNACCGGCAGGTTTCATTCAGTGCTGTATCTACTAGCTTGGCATGGGCTGAGCGGCTCCATACGGGGCTCGCATATTCACCA